TGTCAGAAGAACTAAATCGCTGTGACTGTACTTAGGTGGAACATATGGCGAGATTTTGAATATTTATTGAGAAATGAATGTATGTAACACTTTGGAATGTACATTGTTTAATTTCACACAGAAAACAACCTTTTTACATACTAACAGTCCATTTCCAAATCACTATCGAATCATTGGTGTTGTATCAGGAACCGGCGTTACTTTATTTCCACGCTTTTTAAAGGGACGGATTATTTACGCCTTTTATTGTTAAATGCATACCAGGGGTAAATTTCGCCAAAGTTTTTTTGTATTTCACAGTTTATCAAGCTTTTGCGAGAATTTGGCGGGCACGACCAAATTAATTGTGACTGATCAGTTACTTTCATAGATAGCGATACAGCTATAAAAATACACATAAGTCATATAACCATCCAACATTAATTAATTTATTAACAAGATATTGGAATACTACCTGATAGTATATAAAAAAAATATCAGCACTGAGCGATATATATGGTACGAAGCCCAAGTACACGATTACAACTCATACGAATTAGAAACACATGATAAGTTGTAAAAGGATTCTGCTCTTTCATGAGTAGGGTGTTGATTTTGAAGTACATTTAATACATACTAAGTTGCATACAAAGTATGGCCTGCCAAAACTGAAGAAGTATTTATAACAATGCATATTATATTTTTGACATGTTACCTTTTTAGTTTCAGTTTGATGTACATTTGTGGGACCGCACAAAGCACCAAAAATAGCGTGCATACATCGTCCACACATGATGCACGCAACTATGCGATTTGGTAGAATTGGTTTATCAATATTACGGAATGAAGGCTATCCGGAGCCCTCGTATGGAATAAGGAACACTGTATATATAAATTGCTCATCAAACTAATTAGGATTATGTTTAATTTTACAATGCGTGTTACACAGCATTACAGTGACCGTTAGACTATCAAGAATGGGTTTAGCTTTCAGGTAACAGAACAGATAAAATATGTTTTTTATGATTGACAGGAGTTTTACCTGACCCGTGCCTTACAAAGAGAGTTGATATGTGATACCGTATGACCGTTATGAAAGCACAACTGGACGTTTAGTATTTTTCAGTTGCATTCGTTTTGATCTATAGCACCCCTTCACCTGGATGTTCCCATCTTGGCGAGTTACGTAAGTGTCCCAGGTGTGGAAAACTACGGTCCAGGTACAGATGCAAAGTGGCTATGTGCACCTGTATACGTGACCGTGTCAATACGTGTATGTGCTATTTAACAACGAAAACACCATTTCTAAATTAAGAAAATATAGATAGAAAGATCAGCTAATATATGTAGCAAGAGTATAGAAATATACTTAAAAATCAGGTATATCAGGTATTATGTTTAAACACGAAACCGTATATATTGTTAAGTCATTTCTCAATTTACACGTACCACGATTGTCATCGCACAACGTTCGTCTTTCGTCCGCACAAATGTGCGCAAGCGAAAATCGTCCAGATTTGAGTCGTTCGCACATCGTGCATACATCGTGCACACTCCGTGCGCACATCGCGCTCACACCGCACATCGTGTAACGTTGTGCGTTCCCACAACTGTAACTCCTTTTTTAAACATGTACTTTTAGTGTTGTGTGGCACTAAATGACAATGGACATCAGTCAAATGCACAAACAAAACAAACACTGTATAGTTTTTCGAAAAAACAACTTCTACGAAAAAACAACTTCTACGAAAAAACAACTTCTACGAAAAAACAATGAATACGTTGAAACAATGATAGTGTTCTATGTATTTAAAAAAAACTACGTTACGTTCTTTTTTCATCACTTTTGAAATGTTAGAAAGCAGAGCGCAAACAAATTAAAGACAAACATAGCAATGTGACATACTTCACTGTACTGGGAAATACATTATACATAGTTAAGGAAAATACGGAGATTACTACTCTCCGAAATTTAAAGTGCTAAGACATCTCATATGATCCGTTTACTTTATTTCAGAAAGTCGAAACATTTGACCAATCGGAGTCAGGCTATGTTTTATCTGTAAGTATGACGTGGTACAGATGTTTTGTACTACTGCTTTAAATACACTGACGTCATAACGAATTAAATAGAGGTCATTAAATCAAGAATGTGTAACACATGTCAGTGAAAAATCGATATCAATGATTCCATTTGATACTGTTAAAATTGTTCTTAATTCAAATATGCCACACTCATATACGTGTATGTACAAAAAGCATGCTGGATAGTGATTTTGCATCGATTTTCTTTTAACCTTAGTTATAGGTGAGTGATTTAAGATGTCATAGACTTCATCAAAGAGTTGCATATTAGGCAAAACTAAAAGAACATAAAACAACAAAATGCGAAATGAAATATTGTTTTCGTCTTTACTTATTTGTTTCGACTAACTTTGATGATATTTATTGATGTAAATATATAGACTAGACAATAATTCATTTGAATTGTAGTTATTTTGTTTAAGCATTATTACGTTTTTTGTTTAATTTTTCATAATCATCACGGTATGATAGACATCCTCTCTATTTAAAAGAACAATTATGATTTTTTGAGAAATGTTTTTTATTTTGTTTAAACAGTCATTTTGTATTCTTGATTAATCCATTCAGTGCTGAGAATTGTTCAAACATTAGTTTCAAAACAAGTGCTTGATATATCAGATTTTTGTTTATGTCAGGCCGTTAATTACCTTTTTTGTAAAATAACAACATTATCTTAATTAACGCGACTGTTCAATAAGACATCACATTATGTTATGTAAGATATAAATTAAAATGTGCAGCACTCCTTTGAGTGGCATGCTGATTTTAGTCATTAATGTTTTTTCAATCTCAGATTATAATTAAAACGTTATTCATGACACTATCAACATATCGCAGCCTCCCAAAATACATACACTACACGCATGCATCTTGCACACAGGGGAGGCCGTCCTTAAATGACCTTAGCTGTTAATAGGACGTTAAACAAAATTAAACAAACAAATCTTGACACTATCTAGAATTGATAATTAATTTCATGATTACTATTGAAAATAGAAACATTGTGACCAAACTAATTGTGTATGATTAAAAACGCAGAAGCAAATGTTAAAAGATACGTCAGTTGCATCATATTATAATAATACCACATCACAGACTATCATTGAGCCTCCGTTTTTTTTATTTGATGTGACTAATATCCACCCACTTAAGATTCGGAACTGTTTTCTGCATATTCTGCTTCAGGGACATTGCAGAAACCAATTTAAGTATCCTGCCTCAAGGCAATTGGGACCTCTATCTATTGCCAACAGTATCCTTCTTTTCGGCTGCCACTCCCCAAGCAATCTTCTTTTGATAGCCTTTGTAGTAAAACACAAACAAACATATCCAAATCGAAGACTTTCTGTAATTTATTACTTCTATACATCGACCCTTTGCGATGTGCGAAGTAAATATCACGATGACACCTCCTACGTGTTGTAATAGGTGAAACAATTTGTGTTCCTTTGCACCTTTCTGTCTTCTTGTCCTTTCAGTTTAACTTCAGTTTACAATTCTTTTGACATCAGCATCAGGTATATAAAGGCACAATATCAAACTCCTAACACAACTATGGTAATTGTGGGTCCTGGTCATTCTCTATCCTGACACCAATTAGTATAATGTGGCTAAGTTATTTTTTCTCCTGACAGCAACCGATTTAGCTTGGCTATGTATATGTAAGTCTCTCCAGACAACTTTTATTCTACTTTCTATTTAGCGTGAATGGCATACTTTACAAAGGAAACTGTGAATGAGCTAACAAAAATATACCCCCGCTTGCGCTTAAAATTTTTCCAGAGCAGAAATTAAAGTTAAAACGGTCATAACTCCAGGAAAATAGTAAAAACGCTGAATCTTTTCTTCATGCACTCTTCCATATATTGCTCTTTAACTGTGCTAACTTATAAAACAAATCAAACAAACTATAAGGAGAAGTTGCGCTTACAAGGTTTAGGACAGACAGATTGACGGACCGGATGATTCTTTTATGCCTTCCTCCTCCCCAAACAAACTGTGTAGACATATTTTACTTTTTTTTTATTTCTAAATTGACTGACAAGAGTTATACATATGTATTTTCTACCTTGTTATTGCTAGTTATATAAAAAAAAAAAAAAACTAGCAATAACGAGTTAGGAAATACTTAATTAAAACTTTTGTCAGCCAATTTATAAAGCAAAAAAAGGAAAAATATGTCTACAACCGTTAAGGATACAAAAACCAAATGTTACTTAGATACAATATAATTGCATCTTCCTTAATTTACGCTCAAACGAGTGGTTGTTTTTCAATGTATATATGCTAGTTTACATTACAAGTTATCTATTCATATACATGTAAAATAGCGCAAAAACACATTACACACAAGAAAAATATCATGCTTGAACAACTTCGCACTGATAAAGTAACGAAAGAGCGTTTACGGCCAAACTTAATACCAACCCACATGTTAAAGATTTTTCGATCGTATATAGTCTGTACAACACGTAGCCAGATCCATAGGGATTCAAACATAGATGCACGTGGAATCCCCAACGTCACCAATGATCGTCAATGTGTTTTGTACCACGACAAATGTATGTTTAAATGTTAACGTTGTCAATCTTAAAAGATAAACTGAGTTTATGTTTAATACTTTTTCTATACGGCTGAATGAGTCACCCTCATTACTTGTCCACGTCTTACGGCAACACCTGGCCCAACGGCCGGCTTAACGCTGCCCGGTCTAACAATAGGTCATAAAACTGGACAGAATACATAAATCATTTGAAGACACAATATTTTGAAATCCAGTTTTTATGCTTAAGATACTAAAAAATCATAATTAAACTTAAAATGGTTTTATTTCGAGTAATAAAATCGCAAAGAAAATATCAATACAATTTTTCGAATTTTCTTACAGTCTTTAAAAAGTCGAATTTCAAAATTTGAATTATTTTGTGGTCAACCATCCGTGGATGAACATATCAAATCACCAAAGGTAACAGGAACACCCAGCAGGTAACATTTTATTTTGTTTTAATTGATACATATATCTTTCATAAACTTCATGTATAGACATTTGAAGAAACAGTTTTTAAATTATTTATGTATTTTTTCTCCTCTGATCAGTTAATCAACATGTTACAGGATTTCTGAAACTAACGTATGCATACTGAACAAAATATTACAAAAAAATTGATTACTCTGAAAAGTTTGGAGTGTTTTGGAATAAGGATGCTTTCAACCAGACACATTAAAATGTATAAGACTCTACTTTGTTTATGCTGGACTGCAATACCTGATAAATTTCCTTATAAATCTGAAAGCCTTGTGATAAAATTGTCCTTTGTTAGATTTTATATCAAATATCGTATGGTATGAAAACATTATATTCACATTTTCACTATTTATCTGCTAAATAAATCCATCAGTTCAAAAGTTTTAACTTTTTTAAATGATAGAAATGCTACCAACAGCGTTATCAAGTTAAAAGAAAGTTGTCATTGTTGAGCTACATTCAAATATTGCGTCATAACGCGTGTAGGATTTCAAAGCATTTAATATATTGTGTCATGCTTTGCTGAAAGGTGTGCACTAATGGATGAATGATAGGAAACTGTAAAAATATGAAAACAGGGAGTTTGTTGAGGTGCTTGAAAAGCGCGTGAGAAAGAAAACAATATTCTTCTCGCTACTGTCGATACACAGAACTGTCTATGGCGTGAACAAAGCGCCGCTAAACGAGAATTATCAAAGGTATTACTGACAAATGAACTACAGATGCATACTTTTAAATCTACTTCCCTCCCTTTACACCGCCTACATCACGGCAAGTACTTGCATGTGAAGAAAGCAGTGTTAATAAGGCATCTGTATGGCAACCAAACTAGTTACATTACTTATATCCAAGTGGAGTTTTCCAAACATATCTATCTCCTGAAGAACAGCTTCCAGAACTGTCAATTGATGTAGATTTTTAGTCAGCACGGAATTGCCAAATATTGTGATACACGTATGCATACAAATATTCCAAAAAAATGGTGTAGATTATTTTATTGTTTTGATTTACAATAACATTTCAATTGATAAGTGTTTTATTATTTCCGGCTGTTGGCCATTTTATTATTTCCACTCATTCCGATATTGCCATGTATCCAAATTTAGGTCAGTTGGCAGGACATATATGTTTTTGTTAGATAATAGTCTTATGTTTACCGATTAGATAAACTGATGTTAATGTTATGTTTTTATTGTATATTTACAAGTTAGAATTGATAAAAATATACAAACAAGGAAGCCATGTATCGTCGGGAACTACAAAGTTACCAGTTCTCCATTACAGAACCAGCAATGAAGATCATCTGGCTGGCTTGCCTTGTGGGATGCCTTATTGGCATGGCATCGGCACAAAAAGGTAAGGCACTCTTACTTTGCTTCATCGAAATATTATCTAGTGTAAACAAAATTCGGACTTCATAGACATCAATATTTTTTGTCGAAAGAAAACAATATATATTGGGTTTTTTTCAAAATGGTCCGTCTGCCGTATTAAGTTTGTTTGTTAGGTTAGGAGGAGAACAGAAGGACAACACAATCATGTTTAGTTGTTTTTTAAAGAAACCTTTATCGAATTTGATGCGTTAAACAGTTTTTATCTGATTAAAATTATATCTTCAACTTTTCAAGTAATTGAATTAACAACGATAACTACATTTCAAACTTGTACTTTATGTAATCTTGTACATGTACAAACGAATATTATTTACAGTTTTGAACATGCCATTTTGAAATTGTTATGACAGCTTGTGTACTTCTATGTGTTATTCGCCGATTCATATTGCTGAGGAACTCGTACTGGCACCAACAAAAATCGCTTGCATAAGTAAGTCATAACGTTAATATGTATTAACAGGCTGCAAGGACAAGAAGACAGGAACCAAGTACAATGATGGGGACGAATGGTTTGATACGGAAATCGAGTGTAGATTCTACCGATGTGTTGATGGCAAAATAGAAAAGATGGCAACCGGTAAGATGTCGTTTTGTAACAACATTTGTTCACAGTACTGTTGATTTTGAATAATGAAGAAGGCTTACAATAATGAATTACACATACAAATGTATTTTTGGTCTAGGAGGACAAAGCGCACCTGACCCTTTATTTAGTTGGGAGTGGCAATGACTTATATGATACCGACACTTAGGCAGTAGTCTGACTTTATTGTGCCAATTTAACTTGCTGTGATTGCCATAGGCCTACAACCAAGATGAAAAATAACACTTGTCGTGTTCAACATTACTGTGGCATAAGGCTACTGAGGGTCAATGTCTTCGTTCAGGACAACGGTTTTGTGAGCGTGATTCGAGCTTTAAACTTCCCGGCTAGAAGGCCGACTAATTACCACATCCACTAGTTTGGTCAAACTCTACAGTTTTGATATATCGGTATTCATCTTATCTTTCTCCCTTTTACTTTGAGTGTTTAAGTTTTCCACCAGCTCAGAGTAGTCACGACAGTTGCCATTAACTGAATGATCGTATATCATAAACCTTTGCAGTTTTCGGGAAAGATTATTCCTGTTGTATTCCACTACATGTAATGGTCAGAAAAGTCAAATGAACGGTGCAACGCAAAATCTAAGGATTAATTATATGTCTTCCATTAGGGGCACATTGAAGAAACCTAAATTGATTTCCAGCCTCCATTTCAACACTTTGATGAACAAAATATTATATTATTATCTGATAACTGTTCACGACTAGTATAATATAGCGCACATTTTATGAATATTGTTTTGGCATACTTTGCATGTAATTGTTATATTTAATTCCACCTGTTGTTGGTGTCAAGCAGTAACATGCTACAGTGATATTGTTGATCTGGTAGTAAGATAAGAGACCTCCGCGAGAAAATGGCAATAATAGAATGATAATTGAACACTGAATGATTCAGCAATTATTTACATTCTAACATAATCTCAAATGATTTTTTCAATCGCGTTTCATATCTTCGACGGAATGGAAACCAACGTTATAGATTCCTATTTTTGTACGTGTTTCTGTTTTGCAGAATTTTTTTTACCCTGCATGTCTAATTCGTATAAAGCATCGGGAACACTTCACTACAAGCAATTGAAATTGCTTTAAGACTCATTACACATTTATATTTTTCATACGTTTTATCCTCTCTCGTTCCATTATAGTTATTTTACTTTGTATCATAGGAAGAAAAATGGTGAGGAAAATACAATGAAGGGGAAAATAGAAATACAGGACAGCCACACAAACAGACGCACCTACACAACAGACAACCAGCTAGACATATTTATTTCTGTGTCACACTGTAAAAAGGAAAAAAAACACAACATCATTCCTTTGTAATATAAAATATAGAGTTTATTCTAAAGTTTTATTTACATATTTAAGTTGTCAATAGTCTCAAAGTATATGACTATGTATGACATTTATAGATGCACTGCTTTCAAAAGTAAAAGTTTATCTTATTGATATTTATATTTTGATTATGGGGCCAAATTGATTTTTTATACAATACAATTGTGAGGTCCTTATATATTACTCACTGTGCCGTGACAATGGGTGATGTTACATATGTTATACGCTGTAAATTTATGTGATGATATTGTGATAGTCTGAGTATAAAGAAAATAAACTGTAACATGTATTTTATAACAATGGTAAGTGAGTTAACAATTTTGTTTGGGTCTTACAAGTTCCTGATGTTGTTTGTTTTCTGTAAGACTATGCCTAATGTGTTGCGCAGCTTAAAATTGATTTTTAGGTTCAGAATAATTTCGGTAATCATTAAATGTTTAGTTTAGACGCTCTATTGAACATTGTGTATAATATCCCTTATAGCATGTATCTGGAAGGACGCATGTTACAAAGATAAGGCTAAATGGAAGGATGGCTGCCACAACTATCACTGTAATATGACCATGCCGGAAGAGAACAGCATCGTGTATTCTGTGGAGGTCAAAGCAGGTATAGTTTATGACGCCTTTTAGTCTTAGGTTTAGGGACGGTTTATGTGTCCCTGTCATATTACTGTCCGGAATAGTGGTTTCTTTAAACGATCTTGAGAATTATAACTTACATATTGTTTAATTAACTTACACAAAAAGGAATACAAAAATTTAATAATGTTTGAATGTACAAAAAACTGTATAAATGTTTAATCTCGCGGGCTATAAATTTGCGGTCAGAACTAGTTCGCAGAGTTATAATTTAGCGCAACATGGACACGTTAAGATATCGCGCTCACAATTGTTATGTGAACATAGAGTAAAAGTCGATACTAGTTGTTTTTTTCATTACTCGGCAGTAAACTGTTAAACATATTTTTTGGCATATATGTACTCAGGGAGATTATAATTTTTGGAATTTATATTTGCTTGGTTTTTAATTTCACGCTATCGTTTATGACCGCAAATAAAGCAAAATTGAATTCCCCGCTAACTTTACCAACTTTACAGTTACGATGATGTGGCTTATATTTCATTCAATATTATAAACATTTATCGATTTTTTTAGTAAACACATTGCATTGTTAACATTATCATTGCAATACTTTTACTTTCCAATAAAGAAAAGCAGTTTTTACTATATTGTATTTTTTTCTAATGATTATGTGTTCTATACTTCCGTGCAACGTGAAAAAAAGTTACATGCAACATTTGACCATATAACCAGGTTTTGATAAGTTAAAAGCACTTTACTTTGACCAAAATCAAACAAAAATACCAAAAATGAGGGTGCTGTTTATTGAAATTAAATATAACTCTTATTTTTATTTGAATATAAAAATTCATAATGCAATGGTTCTCATTTTTGTCATTGTTAATATCTACAGTCAGCTCAAACAGTACGGTTCAATGAAGCTTGTGGGTAATTTCCTTTCTGTTCTTGCAATAATTGGGCACCAAAAGCAATTACGTTACAGTGAAATCAGACTGCTTTTTGTAGGATGTAATCACAACGGAACCTGCAGAAAGAATGGTGAAAGATGGACGAACGAGTGTCACACTTACTCATGTACAGTTACAACCAAGAAGGACGGAACATTATTGGCCACAGCTGGACCAACGGAAAGTATGATTTTTTGAATTGTTTTGTTTGCTTACTTTTTATTAGTTTACGGTCCATCGATTATGTAAGCAATTATGGTCAAATTTCACTGTAAAGATAGTGATTCGCAAAAAGAAAACATCAAAAAAATCCAAAAAATGAATAGGTTATTAAGTGTACAAAACTTCAAAAATAAATCAAATGGTGTTGCAATATATTATATCTCATTGTTAATATCAATTTAGCTTTAATAATCATATACCAATCGGTCAGAAACTGTATCACACAAACTTTTCATAAAAGGTACATTGACGAATCTGTCCCGTATTTGTCAAAAATCAGCACAATCGAATCGATTCCATAAAGTTTGACAGTAAATAAATACTATGAAAGTGGACATTTTTGCGTTGAGTATTATAGATTATAGATAAAATGAATAACAAGATTGCAGAGCTATTTCCAAAGCTAACTTTACCACAACGCGACCTCTTGTATGCAATTGTGATTTTAACTTTCTAAGCATTTCCTGATAATAATTCCTACATTGATCCCTTTCACACGAAATAACATAATTTCGGTCTTTTGATATCACTTTTTTATATATATATATATAACACAAAGTTACCAGTGTTGTCATTTGTCTTAAATATGCTTTGACAAAGTTATATTTAGGCTATCTCCATCGACAAAAAAGCTCGCTGATTTGAAATGTCATTGCATTATATATGATGCATGCATACAAATTGTAATTCTAACAAAATTGATATCATGTATATATCGAAATTACCATCCATTGGGAACAGGTTGGTCATCAAACAAATCGGTGACATCGGTGTATATAATATATCATAACTTAATCAACGTGTATCGGCCTTAGTAATCACTTAATGACGTTAAGAGAAAAAAAATGCTTATCATTTATATCGATTTTGGAACCAAATGAAATGAATTAATATGGTTATCTGGCTTTGAAAAAAGCAGGCGTTAGTTATAAATCTCAGCAATCAAAAGCAAAAATAACCAATACAGATGTATACAATCATAAACAAATATGTGTGACTGACCGATTTATCAAATCTTACTGGTGCGGTGCATTGATGTGTAAAAACATACATCCCTGAAACATAAACTTGTTTTTTGCTCAATGCTATTTTCAATCAAGCAAGATAAGGAAGCCTATCATCTTCTAGATTTGTTTTAAGTATTGAAATTATAGATGAATGTTCTTGTGAAGGCATTGCTATTTATCATATGACAGTTAGACATCCGTAAATCCTAAATCTTCGTCTTTTTCATATTGTCAACAAATGTTTGTGACAACAGTAGAGTTGCAAATCCCACTTTTGTACTGAAAATATGGTACATGTAAATACGAATTAAGCAGACTCATGGATCAATGTGATTTTGAAATATATATTAACATACGTAATACAATGTATTTCCATACACATGATAAACTCCCGTCCTGCAAAATTAATATATTTCTGCTGTCGGCATATAACCCTTCTCTGTTGCAAAGACGTTAAACCCTGATAGCAAATCTACACTATATAGCGTGAATATATTAAACGTAAAAACATAAGGTGTAGTCAACATTCCATATCATACATAATCAAACCTATTTGAAATAAAAACATTTCCATATCAAAAATATACTTAAATATTTCCATAAATCAACGATACCTTCTACGTTTCAAGTGGGCTGTAAGTTCAACAAAAGATGTAAGAAGTCCGGTGAGACTTGGCGAGATGGGTGCTTCAACTACTCTTGTGTCGAATACAATGACAAGGGAGTCAAGTCGAGTAAAATAAACACCAAGCCAGGTAAGTAACATTGCCATAACCTACCAGCTATTAAGATCAAACTCAGTATTCATACTTAAGGCCCCATTATAAGACCTAATTTGAAAACAGTTCGGGAGGAAGAACATGCTTTAGTCAATCTTAATCATACCAATATACCTACCAAATCGTCATTTTATGATTAAGTTTATTTTGCATCCGGCCTTTTTCCTTCTCATTTATTGATTAATTATATAGAACATAAAGTATACCAATTCATTAGTAAATAAGCACTCTTTAATTTACCAAGAAACTGTTTGGTACCGTGAGATCAGATGTTTTTGTAGAGCCCAAATTTCGTAGTTTCCCGACAAAACCCCATTTCGTGGATATATGAGTTCGTGGATGATGAGTTTCCCCTCCAACGGAGAATTGCTTTATACCAAACTTGTAATTACTTCGTGAACCTATGAATTCGTGGATAAAGATTACCAACAAAATCAATGAATTGAAAACACCATGAAAATTTGTGATTTTACAGAATATCAAATTGTTTCAGATTTTATGAATTTGTCATAAGAGTATATCGTGATTGAAACAAACATCAAATGAAAGTTCGACGCTAATAGTTTATATCATTGTATATTTCAAACTTTAACGCTGTAAATCAATTTCGGATAATGTTTAGTCGAACTTTCTCGAGTTAAAGATACAAATTGAAATAAAACTTTAAAAAATCACTATCATTCAAAAATCTGTCGCCCTATTTAACTTATGCATTTGGTGATTTGTTTAACGATATAATGCATTTGTAATCGCTTTAAAAATAGATCAGTATAAACACTGAAACCTTAAAATACATTAAAATACAGTATATAAGTGTATATTTCGTTACAGCTTGCTGGGTTAAGGGAACGAAAAAATGTATTCCAGTTGGTGGAACAGTTGACATACGATGCAGTACCTATAAATGTACATTGGAAGACAAAAAACTCAAACTGGAACTAAAGAAGTTCGGTAGGTTAAAGGCAAAACGTTCGACATTACAGAACAAATATTGAGGATCATATCATTATCACATCTGATACAGATGTAAATAATGTCACAGTATAATATCTAAATATGTATACTCGATATTTATCAGTTTTGCTGACGAAAACTACGCATGAGAAATCATTTACATTTATACATTTTAGGTCGCTTTACACGAAGGAATTCCTCTGCGCGTATCAGTGAAAAAATCATGACAAAGCAGTTAATATGCATGTCAATACAATATGAATGGAATGATATTTCGAAAATAACTTTGTCGCAAATATACTGTTACTGCATATTGAAACAGAGAGCGTCGGAAACAACCAAACTTTATGTGCCATATAAAATGAAAATGATATTGAAAGCGTTAATCATGACAGGCAATTATTACACAAATAATCCTGATATTTTCAGTAATCAGAATACTTTATTTACATTGTCTGTATTTATAATATCATTGTTGATGTGACGTTATCCATTTGTGTGTCGGCATCAGTTCCGCGCTATCGCAAGGAGACAAACACGAACATATCGCAGCCTCCCAAAATACACACACATACACTACACGCATGCATCTTGCACACAGGGGAGGCCGTCCTTAAATGACCTTAGCTGTTAATAGGACGTTAAACAAAATCAAACAAACAAACAAATTGTCGCTCGGGAAGTGAAATCAATCAGTATATAATGTTTAATGTTGCAGGATGTCCTTACAACAAAGGCTGTGTTTCTGAGGGCAAAACGATCATGAGGCAGTGTTCGAAATTCAAATGTGGCCAGAAGGGTGACAAAGTCGGGTTCGTTCCTGACGGACTGGGTCAGTTTAATCATTATTTTCATGTTATACATAATACACATTTAATGCCGAATGTAATCAATGAATAACAATTACTGACAATTTAAAATAATCTTTTTCCTTATGTTGTCGCACTCCATAATAAATATAGATTTATCTCACCTTTAAACCATTAACTTACTGGTAAATAAGAAAAAAGTTAAAGGTTTTGACTTTTACCGCTATACAAGTTTCCAAATATTAACTCAATTATTCAAAGGAAACGTGTCCTAAATATTCCTTCTAGTCTGGACACATATTGCTTGTATAAACGATTTGGACTATATCGAAAAAAGCATACAACTATCCTCAAATATACAGGGGTTAACTCTTAGATAATTAGACGATTAATTTAAATGATGTTTAATAAACTGCATATATAATCCTATCAAATTTTTGCAGTCTCTCATCAATCTTTCATCAATGGTTTCAATCATTCTTTTGAAAATACACCAATGAACAGAACAAAACCAACACAAGTTTCATGAACCCCATGTTTCCATGTTGTTGTTTTTCTGTATATCAATGACGATTTCCGATTATGTTCCTTTTGTTTAGACGCTGCGATATGAATGATGTATTGTTTTCTTATGTTCCTCTGAAACAGGTTGCAGATATAATGGTAAGTGCTACAACGAAGGAAAACAGTGGTTCAACAGCACCATTTGCGCAAACCTAATGTGCACAAGTTCCCCACACAAGAAGAGGAGCTACTTATTCAGAATGCGAGTCAAAGCGTCCGATCATGGTGAGTTTGAAGGATATTCATGCCGTTACTGTAACATGTATTTTCTCCACTAAAAAAAGTGCACAGATATTTGTTTTTGATTGTTTAATATGCCACTTGAAGGAACAAGGGAATGCATTCAGGAATGGATATCCTCATTTTTTAAAACGGATATAACACATACAGTGTATGTGACTACAACGTTTGGTTAAGATACAGTATGCTAAAATATAATTACATTCAATCATACAGCTGTTTGGTACTTCTCGAAAAAATCGGTGATGCTAGTTGCCATAAATTTGGAAACACAAATTAGTCTCAACTACTACTAAAGAGAAGTAGAGATTCGAATTTTATTTTAAATATTTCAAAATGAATTAAGAGGAATACTGGTGAATTTCAAATTGAATTTATGTTTTTGCACACAGTAATTTTTGATGCATTTAGTTTTGTATTATTGTTGTAAACTGGCTCGCTATGAAATTCCAGTTCCCGTATTTATACGCGACAAACGACCAAAAAAATGTAAAATTTAACCATTGTCATTAACAGGTTGTCCATGGGAGAAAAAGTGCATGGCGGCAGACGAGAAATGGGTGGATAAGGAATGCAATGAACGGCAATGTAAAATCATCGAGAGAAAGTTCCGTTCTACACACACTGAATACATAGTGCGAAAATGTAAGTGGCAAAGTATTATTTGAATATTTGAGTACATAACACTATTACATAATTACATAACATTATATGTCGACATTTATGACGGGTGCATGTACATAACGCGACAGTTTTATGTAAATTAACTACTGGGTGTATAAATACATATTGTGGGTTGTTATGACGGGATGTTCACGTTCATAACTTGAGACGACATAATTATGTCAATATATAATATGCAATGTGTAAATACGTCACTTAACAACTCTAGAAAATATATGTTACGAGTTAACTTTCAGAAAGTTTTAAGGATCTACTGCCGAAAACTGTAACCACGCATTGGAAATGGTTTTTTAAGCATGGCTATACCTTTGATAAATAATATTTTTTGAAAGAAAACCCTACCTTGAGGGACTTTTATAGAACCTGAAATAGACAGAATATGAATAAGCGGGGGCTACATCGGAGTTTGGACCCTTCGCCTTAAATTGTTTAAAACAGCTGCTCTAACCGATTGAGCTGATCATCAAAAGAAGCCCTGACCAATCTATTGTGCTACAGTTATATTCGAAGTAAAATTCTTTTGGCGGTTATTGTATATATACGACATACCAAAGAGCAGCGGGACAGAGATCCTTAAAAAGCTACAATTATATTCCATATTAAGAAGAAACGGGAAAGGTAACAAAACGGCATGATTAGACAGATATTACGGGACCAATGAGTACATTTCGTGACACTACATGCAAATATCTAATGAAGCACAAAACTATGCAATATATGCTTTATCATCTATATATAAAATAAATTACATGGACGTAAATTAATAACGTTGATCAGTTTGATATTCAATCGTTCATTTTCAGTGTGCCAAGATGTGAAGGGCAAGTGTGTAGCGATCGGGACCAAGGGCTTCACAGCGCTTGTTAAAGGAGTCAAGTTCAACAACTGTTCGTGCGAAGAGAAGGGCAAGAATAACTCTGAGCTGAAATGTGAATAGCATTTGACATGAAACGGATACTTTATCTTGTGAAACGCATTACAAACATGAGTTTTATTATGTGTATCTATATAAAAGAAGAAATTGGTGGACAATGTAAATGTTGAAGTTACATGTACTAATGCCTGAATAAAGCAAAATAAAACCAAAGCATAACAAGTGTTGAACGTTTTATTACTGCTTTCGACACCTACTTGAACGGAAGGGGATAAAAGCAGAGAGAAGAGAGTGGTATGCTGAAATAGTTGTCTCCTCATGTCCAGTTTGCAGTATTTATGTCAAATAGAGCATAGATACTGACCCGAAGATGTTTATTTAATTCATTTAGTTGGTGGGTGGGTTCTTTCAACAGCCAGGGTAATATGCTAACGGGTGCCTAGGGAGACATTGTTGGAAAGAGAAAGCAGATAGGAAAGATCGCTAACAAAAAGGATCCCAAGCGTTGCAATTCGTGCAGCAGTTCTAATTAAAATATTTCCGTGTCCCCTTCGTAGCAAAAGCCTCCGATTATGCAGGAAGCCAACCATGTATCGCCTTTTGACTATTCACATCCAGTGGAATACAACACGTCTATTCTTAGTATACATTTTACAGAAGGCAGGGTAAAACCCATTCCAAGTTATGAAGGGGCGGGTGGGTGGGTGGGGTGTCACATTAATCACCTCCTACGAGCATGTAATGGGATAAAGCGAGCTTATTTTGGCACTTGCAACCTCCAATTCTCCTATGAACCCTCTGCCCGAATGCGGCCACACCCTCCGCTTAAACAAATTGACAAAAGATGCTCTAAAACAATTTTGATTAACATGTTTCCATTGGTACAGAAGGAAACAAATTTAATATTTTCCGTGTATACTAAATTAAGTCCCCTTTGCCTAATATGATCTAGAATGAATTTAGTTCGAATCCCTCCATTGGTTACGAGAAGAGAAGGTATTTTTTTTCAATTTCCCCTATTGGGCGCCACCCTCCTTTTATTCAAAATTGAAAACCCTTTGCACAGGAATGATCTAGATAAAAGTTGTTCAAAAAGCACAGAGCCGTTAAAGACAAGTAACGATTTAAATGAAAAAGTTGACACTCGCCTTGTCATCAGCTCATTGGTTTTCTGGACCAAGTGAGCTAAAATTGTTATAAGACATTTATGGAACAAATGCATGTGTAAAAAGGAAACTTATTATGCAATATTATGTAAATATTCACGAGACATGTATTTAATCACTTTCATGTCCCAGCATGGAAATCGTCATGCGACATTATATAAATTATAAAGTGACATTTATATCAAAACATGTGACAGGACATAAAAAAAATCACGTGACATATAAAATACGACAAAAAAGTCGGAACCAAATATGTAGCAACGTTCGCTTGTTTTATGGTGTATATTTACACTTATCTTCAATAAGATTCATCAGTTTAAAATATGTTATATCAAAGTCTTACTTTCTACAGTCAGCTTGACAAAGGGAACATTCGGTCTGAAAACTTTGCGACACGTTTATTACGAACATTGTTTGTGTGGGAAAAAAATCTCTGATATTAAATATTCACTCTTATTCCTCTGCACAACATGCACATTTTAAAGGTTAATGGTGCCACTAGAAAAGTTGCAATCTCGAATACGATTAACACTTTGTAATAGTACGACAGAACAGCATAAAGTAATATCTTCTAAGAGTTAATTCGTGATGGACTGACTTGGCAAGGTTTCTTCTTTCATTTTTCGTTCTGTGTGTTAACTGGATAAAAAAACAAATTATATTCTTCGTTTATTCTTTATAGTTTTATTTGTTGTAAGTACTTCAAAGTTGAACAGCTGCAATTCTGTACACTTCACTTAAAGATGTGCTATACATTGAGTGTACCTATAGAACAATGAATGAAACAGAAATATTTCCTAATAGTGTCGATTGTATATTTATTCTCTATTGAAACTAGGTTTGGTTGGTTTACTGCAGACAATAATTAAATACATAGCGTTTGTCTCCCTTTGCCTATAAAACTGTGTTCGTTCTCTTGAGGACAACGTTGTCTATTAAACGAAAAATTAAAGCCACGGTTGTAAATGTAAGTAATAACATGCTTAAATCAACCATGATCAAGCTTATTCTTTAACAGAAAACACGTTGCTATATTGCTGTTTACAAAAGACATGATGCATCTGAAACAGGATACAGATATCCGATAACAATCATTTGATCTGTTTGATATACAAATAGTAGACCGAGATCTTGCCTATACAAAACAGTCAACAACGCCACTGTAGTAAGACCGATCCGACAACTGATATAGAAGATAATAATGTGTTTTGAAGAGCTAGGCTATCTAATAATACGAGTGGCAACGTTATAAAGTTATTAACCAAAATATATATTAGGCTGTAGTTCAAATGACATATCAACTGTTATATTGCGTTTGTTACAATTAACTTGATATATAGCTCAGCTTGTCATGTGACCTTTTATATAGCACAGGCTTCGATATAACGAAAGAAAATGCTAAAACTGAAATGTTCTTTTTTCAAAAAAATAATCATTGATTCACCATACTACTATTGATTTTAAAACAGTTTTTTTAGTTTACAAGTTTACGCTTCGGCCTGGTTACAGCGTTTAGATAAAAATGCTTTTAAACTATTCAATAACAAGCATTAAACCATTCAATATCGAAAATTAAATGAGATCGCATGGGTATTTTTTGTCAACTAGTTTAAATGTTTTATTGACTGGGGGAATACTTTGATTAGATTCATAAGTGGTTAATGGGATTTCTCAAAATATTTGTTTAGAAAACCTTGAACATTAATTTGTTTATGGGTTTTTTATGTGGGGTTCTTCATTTCAGAAGATTAAAATTGATATGGACACAATTTAGGCTTCTTAATTGCAAACCTTTTAAATTGATACTTTCAAGGTAGCATCGTCGTCCATAAGATTGAAATTGGTGGCGATGTTGATATGAAAAAACTTAATTAATTTTACTTTAGAAAGCTTTCTCTTTAAAAAATATCTTATCGTCAACGTCGTTTAACTAACATTTCTGTCCGTGACACTATACCGATAACAACAAAACAACGTCAAACTCAGATATCAACACATCTAGTACGCTATTTATAGGCGTATGGGACAATATAGGGTTTTACATGTGTATTGAATACTAACTGATTACATTGTAAGTACGTCGATGAGCAGATATATGATTGAACCCGTATCATGGTATAGGTATAAAATGACGTTGGTTCTGGGTTCTGTCCCCTGTCTTTAAAAATGGTAGTTTATACTCCTGCTTAACGCTCAGCAAATTAGGAGTGGGACGACTGGTTCGCCCGTTGTCAGTATAATGTGACCGGGTGGGGCGTCCTGCTGGGTGTCTTCGGCAGAATGTTTCAGTGAGGTAGCACTGTAAAGTCGGCATCAGTTTCGCGCTATCACAAGGAGACAAACACGAACATATCGCAGCCTCCCAAAATACTCACACATACACTACACGCATGCATCGTGCACCCAGGGGAGGCCGACCTTAAATGACCTTAGCTGTTAATAGGACGTTAACCAAAATCAAACAAACAAACAAACAAACAAAAGCTTAAGATTAATTGTTTTGTGCTTTCGAGGCATATCAAAACGAAATAAAAGATTGTAGAAAAACTAAAATTAAATAACGTATGTACTCAGAATGTATTTTAAAATATAAACGCACGAAGTGGTTACATATCTAGCATGTATCACATCATAGTACTGTTACATGTATGCAGTGAATGCGCCCATGTAATACTTTTACTTATGTCGCTAGTGTAATATACCCTGGAGCGTTTTCATTGTCGGTGTCAGTCAGAAATCGATTGTGACGTCATAAATTGTGAATGGCGCAACAAAAAGGCTGTCCCCGTTTGATTAAGCCCTCTACGTTTTGGCTTTAAAACCTGTCAAAATGTAAGTTTTCTGAATTATGTGATAAAAAGTATCTAAACTTTGCTTTCATTTCATATGAGCTTTTATGAAACTCGTCTAGAAGTTTTAATTTTAACTCGTCAAGGCTTGCCAGGGGGAAAGCCAGAGTTCCGGAGAAAAACCACCGACCTACGACAAGTATCTGGTGACTAGCCAACATAAGCATCACACCCGCGACCCAGTGGTGGAGCGCTAGTGGTAACAGAATGGCATACGCCTTGACCACTTTGCCTCCACGACCGAAATATTACAGTTGTAATCAAGCAATTGTTTTGTATTGTATTGTTTCACGGCCCATCGACAGTGCCAGTAATTTAAGGCCAAACGAAATTTGGAAAAAGACATTCAGTAATTTGAATACATCAAACTTTTCAAATATTTTTCACATAAAATTGTTCAGCAATTCTGCGATGTAGGAGGATTTTATTGTCACGACTCGATACATGTTTTTTCTTCCAGTTTTATATTTTCCATTGGTCATTAACCAAATACCACAGACAATGGCGAATACCTTTCTGTGTGATAACACATATCTAGACATCACGCTATCTTTAATGTAGACATGTTACGTCAGCTTTGTCAAATGCCAAATGTTGTATTATAACAGTATTCTACATAAATGGTTATAATGTTCTGCCACAGAAGACTTCGATATGGCAAGATGTCGTAACAATGCAAATAGAACGACATTTATATAAAGCATGAATATATATATGTTTGACGGATAATATAAAGTGACTTAATAGGCTTTCGGTATAGACTAAACCTCTTTTATTGGGATATAACAGTATATTTAATTTACCGTCCAACATAAAACTGCTGTGACATATAGGGCGTATTTCAGCCTTTCATCTAGTATGCTGGAAGACGCGGTTACCGCTCTCTTGCGTCTGATCATTAAATATTAACATATTTATTGTTAATGTCAAGGCAACACCGAATGTCAATATATATACGTAATATAACAAAACCAAAAACGTAGTAGAGGTCGCTGCTTTGTATACTAATCCAGTGGTATTATATTCGAGCTAATAAGGGATATTTCTTAAAATCAATTATATTTTAAGTTAACAATGTCTTTCCCCTTAACACTTTTTGTTATAAGACTGTCATACCACGAAATAACGATATATTGAGCAAATGGAGACAATCATATATAACAAAATCAATATGTTTAATGTAATGTTTATTTTGT